ATGATGATAGCCCTAGTGACCGAGAAGCGATGATGCTTAGGAGCCGAAGCGCTGCTGCGGTATGATAAGTCTTTTTCGCTTCTTACTCCTTTTGTATAATTTTTGTTCCAGGCAGATTGGACTATGTGTACTCGGTGCGAATCCTTTAGACCTCCGCGGGCCCATCACTGTCGTGTATGTCGTCGATGTATACGAAAAATGGACCACCATTGTATGTTTGTTCAGTGTCGGAAGCCTTCATGCGCTGTTTTCATCCTTTGAGTTTGAAAATAAATCGGCACTCAATGAATAACATTTTTCATAGATAAAATCGGCGCTCTATGAATAACATTTTCCATAAATAGAATCGGCTCTCCATGAATAACATACTTCACTCCTAACGATAAGTGTAATCCCACTGAGTTGCGGTTTGGTGTAAAACTGCACAGTTATGAGCTTACGAGTCTTGCGTTAAAAAATGACTTGATTGGAGAACTAGTCTCAGGGGCACTCAGACGAACAAAAATTCATGAGTAACGTTGGAATCATGATTCTGTTATAAGATGAAACACTACTAAAAGAAATCTTTTTCAACTGTAATCAAAGTTTTTCTATGGTTGTTTTGAAACCATAGTTTTGAGAGGGCATTGGAAAAAATGTTGAATTTTGGCGGCGTTCGTGCAACCTGTGATTTTGCGTCTACACTGAAATATTTCAGGTCCCTGGGTGAACAACTGTGTTGGCGAATTTAATCAAAAGTTTTTCCTTCAGTTCCTCTTCTACGTTGGCTTGTCAAGCACCTACTCTATCATGTAAGTTTTTTTTAGCACGGATTCGTATTTGCAATTCAAGCCTGGGCAGATATAGCTAACCATCGCACACTGCTTATATAGAAATTAAGAGTTTCCTTTGCAACTTTCTGTCGCTGTTTCGGCGTATGATCTATTTTCACGATGGAACCATGATTTTCCTGTTTCCTTTTTATTCACAGGGTTCTCTTATAACCTACAAATGAATTCTTCAGGGTTATGGTTCTTTCGTGGGTGTACGACGACGAATTTGCTTCTACGGGCCTCAAAGGACCTTTTGGAGAGAATGCACATCATGCCAAAGTGTTAGTCTATTATTGGGTCTTTGAGCTTGATTTTTATTTAATAATTGCTTTGTCAGGCTCCACTCTATATTCCTTTCTATGGAGAGCGCCCTGTTTGGAATGTTTGTGTTTGCTGTCTCCTGCGATCAGGTATGCACCCTATATTCTCAATTAAAAACTCTAATAAAATATGCTTTGCAGCTGAGTGCAATCTTCTCCGATGAAACGGCGGTTGAAGCAGTACAAAGGCGAACGAGACTGGCATATAAGAAGAGTCGTCGTCGAGGAAGAGTAGCTTTACTCAGAGAAGTCTGCGGAGGAGGTATGTTCATGGTTATATCTGCTAATGGAACCAGTTTTAGCTAACATACTCTAATCCTCCTGTCTTCAGGATCTCTACTTGCGTGG